TGGCTCTAAATAAAATACAAAATAGGGCTGGGGATGTGGCTCAGTGGTCAAGTGCCCCTGAGTTTAATCCCTGGTACCTCCTCCCCCCAAAATCACCATACCTATGTTCCTTTCCTCATCAAGCTTGAGTGACATTAAATAGTGGAACTCAGGCTGCTCTGTGAGAAGAGAAAAGTGATTAACCAACTAGTAGAGTGAAAAGGGCTTTTGAGTCTTACATGTAAAAAGAACACAGTTTTGTCTTCAGGAATAACTCCACAAAATATTTATGCATAACTATGCTTCAAAATAATGAATAGTTTGGGTGCAAGAAAATTGCCACCTCTCTGCTTGGTATTACATTTCTGCAGGGAATGCTTTAGGGTTCTATGAAACTTAATTTTTTTTTGTTAAAGAAATAAATCAAAAGTAGAGAATGCTTTGTTCTGTGAATTTTTTTTTCGTTGTGGTTAAATAAACAGTACTAAATTAGAAAGACTAGGGGGGAGTTCAGAAAATCAATTAATTAACTTGGATTGTTCAATTAAAGAGACTTAACGCTGAAAGAAGTTCTAAAGTTAATAAGATTGTCTGTGAAGTTAACTCCCAGCACTGTACTTACATAACACGTACTGTACTTGCATAATCTGTTTAATTCCCTGCTTCAGCCCTGAGCATGGCAGCTTGGTGAGCTCCAGCAGAGATTTTGAAAGCAGGTTAGAATCATATGGGGATGGTTAATAATAGTTTCACCAACCTTAAAATGAGAAGGATCCTTAAAACTGTCTGTGAGACTACCTATGCTAGAAAACTTAATTTCTTTCTTTTTTTTAAAAATTTTTAGTTGTAGATGGACAGAATGCCTTTATTTTATTTGTTTATTTTTATGTGGTGCTAAGGATCAAACCCAGTGCCTCACACATGCTAGGCAAGCACTCCGCCACTGAGCTACAGCCCCAGCCCCCTAGAAAACTTAATTTCCAGAAGAGTAAATCAAACCCAAAGTAAATACAAGGAAGAGATAATAAAGAACTGGAATGAATGAAATTGAAAACAGACAATAGAAAAAAAATCAACAAAATCCAAGCTGATTCTTAAAAACATTAATGGAATTGATAAGTTTCTAGCTAGATTAATCAAGAAAAAATGAGAAAACACAAATTACTAGAATCAGGAAGGAAAGACAAAACACCACGACAGGTCCTACAAACATTAAAAGTATAACAAGGGATTATTTTAAAAACCTTCAGGTCACTAAATTCACCAACCTAGATGAAAAGGGTGAAATCCTTGGAAAACGCATATAACCCTCACTCAATAAGTAATAGAGGGCTGGGATTGTAGCTCAGTGGCAGAGCACTTGCCTAGCATGTGTGAGGCACTGAGTTTCATCCTCAGCACCTCATAAAAGTAAATAAATAAAATAAATGTATTCAGTTCATATACATCTAAAAACTTTTAAAAAGTAATAGAAAACACAAATAAACCTATATATTGATTTAATGGTTTGACTCTACTTTGTGAACAACTAGACACATCAGAAATTGTGCTCTATGTGTATACTATGAATCGAGATGCATTCTGCTATAATTTATGACAAATTAGAGAAAATAAATAAATTTTAAAAATAAATAAATAAAATTTGATTCATAATTGCAAAACTTTCCACAAAACTCCAGATCAGAGAGCTCCACTATTGATGTCTCACAAAATTAAGAAATGAGACCAATTCAATGTAGCCTCTTTCAGAAAACAGAGGATGAGGGAAAGCATTCAACCCTTACACCAAATCCAAAATCTACAAGAGAAACAGAAGTGCAGATCGATAGTTCAGTTCCATGAACACAAACACAAAGATCCTCACAAAAAGAAGAATTCCTGAAAGCCAAGTGGGATATGTCCATGGAAAGTCAGGTTCCTAACAATAAAGAAAAATGACTAGGGTAATTCACAGAATAAAAATGATCGCTTTAATGCATATATGCAAACAAAACCATTTAATAAAATTCAACCTCCATTTATCATGAAGAAAAGTTCTCAAAAAGACGTCATCCGTCAATAAATGGAATGGTAACAAACTAAAAAGCTTCTTCAACAACAAAGGAAGCAATTAAGAATGTGAACAGAATGCCTGCAGAATGGGAGAAGATGTTGTCACCTTTG